TCGATGACGACTTTATCTGAACCTGGTTCAGCTTTTACGATTATTGGTTCGCTATGATTGAGTGAAGCCAGGCCATATACAATTGGGATAGCTTTACCGCTCCTGATCCAGTTGCCCCCTACGCCTGTAGCAGGACCTGCGATGGTAAGGGATCGTTTAAGATGTGGCGGCCAGCGAGACAGTTCCAGCCTGTAGATACCATCTGCTTCGGCAAGCACCTGCCAGGTACCGCCATGTACATCGCCATTGGCCATGGCCACGCCCCATTGAGTATTGATACCGCCCGCTCCTATCCAACCATTAGAACTTAACAATACTGGATTTTCTTTTTTACTGCCAATCATTACCGGTACATAATCAAAGACAACGGGTTCCAACTTCTTCCACCATTTCTCATAATGAGCTTTCAACCTGGCTGTAACTGCCGGTTGCGCTACAGCAATTTCGTTTTGCTGACCCGGATCCTTGCTGATATCATATAGCTCGTTTCCGTTCACAAGCCGCCAATTGTCCCACACCACACTGCTAAAATACTTTTCCGGTTTTTCTTTACCCGTGTATTGCACCACGAACATCCTGTTGTCAAAATGCCTGCCGGGTTGTTGCCATACTTTTTTAAGACTGATACCGTCAAAAGATTGCTTCTTTTTTAACTTAAAACCGAATAGATCTATAAACGTAGGAAGCAAGTCTTGTATGTTTGATGCATAGTCAATGCTGCGTGGCGGACCAAGCCTGCCGCCGGGCCAGCTTACAAAACAAGCTGCGCGATGACCTCCATCGTACACGCTTGTTTTCTCACCCCGCATGCCTGCGTTATATAGTTTCACACCACCGGTACCGCCATTATCGTTCATAAATATCACGAGCGTGTTTTCTTTTAGGTGCCGCTTTACCAGCCATTCATCGAGCCGCGCCATGTTTTTATCAATATTGCTGACCATACCGAGAAAAGACCCGATTACACTATCACCGACAATTTTGCGATAATAAGCAGCTTCATCTTCCGGCGCATAAAATGGTCCATGAGGTGCATTAAGCGGGATATAGGTGAAAAACGGTTCCGATTGTCCGACAAGTCCATCCATCCATTTCATTGCTTCATCAAACCAGAGGTCACTGCAATATTTATTTGAATATTTTAATTCCAGGCTATCCTGGTATCGTGTGTGATAATAATCGTTATCAAATTCAGTTTCGGATAAAAGTCCCCAACCTTTCGTCCAGATGCTTTTTTCAAAACCCCGGTCCATCGGGCGGTCTGGATAGACATCACCAAGGTGCCATTTTCCAAATATCCCCGTGTGATAACCATTGTCACGAAATACCTCGGGCATAATGGTTACATCACGCCTGATCAATCCACGACCAGTCAGCACATTGCTCGCCTTATTGTTCATAGCATCCAGTCCGCTCATCAATTGACCTCGGGTGGGTGTACAAAGAGGGCTTACATGAAAGTTGGTCAT